CACGCGGACACCCGCTTTTTAAAAAGTCATTTGCAGACGCCATCACCCTTCACCCCGAATACTTCGCCCGTCTCTCCTGCGTCACTGCGATAGCCTGTCACGCCCGGGAAGGAGACGCCACGCACTGATGTCATCTCAGCACCGCCCAGATGCCGTTTTCCCAGTCGTCCCCGGAATATCTTTCAAGCTGCTCCTTCAGCCTATGGAGGATCCAGCCTTAGCCAGGATCACACGCTTCCTCTGGGTGTCACGCCTCTCTGGTCCCCTTTTGATCCGGAATAATCCCGCTGCTTTTTCGTTTTTGTCTTCATGATATTGACTTTGTTGAGAGCAATCTGGAATGGGCTGGTTGTTTCCTCCCGATCAGGTGTGGCCAGGTGCTGGGGAGGGGAAGCTGCGACGCCTGGGGAGGCAGAAGCGCAGCTGGCCCTGTCCTGGCGGCCTGATGAGGGCGGAGCGTCCAGGTCTCCCATCTAAGGCGCTGTTTCCGTTTGTGATTACTAAGTCACCTGCGGGTGGTTCTTGGGACTGACCGTCCTGCCCCTCAGCAAACCTTCATCCAGGGATGACCCTTTGGGTCATCGTCTAATTCTGCCGTTCCTTCCGCACTGACTGGTCGTCATGGGTTACAGAGCTTCCCCTGCCCCCACCACACCCCACCTGCCTTTTTACTATCACTACAAGTTCCTAGATTTTCGTTAAAATTCAGTGTGCTGTAATCAGGACCATCATTATTACTTTTTGATGCTCAGATTGTGTCAAATTTGGCCAATGGGGGCTCCTTCGTGCTGGCTCCTGGGTCCTTGGGACCCTTCCCTGTCTTCTTTGAGCCCTTCCTTGCGTTTCAGCGTTGTGAGAAGTTCTAGCCATTTCTCCAGGGTGCCCCTAGCTAGTTCTAGGGATTTAAAATCAAGACGTGTGTGCGCTGCTCCCGGGGTATCCTGGCCTCCAGGACCTTTCGGCGGACAGAGCCAGGAAAAACCCTCAAGTTCCTTCCGATACCGCTAATTAAAATCCAAGGTCCTGGAGCTGCACCCTCGCCTTTCTCTTCCCACACTTGTCTCTCCGCTCTCCGAACACCCCGGTTCCCGGTGACATCAGCGTGTCTCAGTCACTCGGCACAGGTTCGGAATCTCTGTGCCCTCCCACCGCCTCCCAGCCTGCCAGGCAAGCTCAGGACTTCCTTGCAGATCTTTCTGCCCTTCAGCAAGGACGGGGGATATATAGTCAGAGTGCTGTGACCTAGAGCTGCATGAACGGTTCTTTCCTTTGTGGGTGTGACTGCGTTCCAATAAAGCTTGATTTACCAAAACCGGCACAGGCCGATGTAGCCCGAGGGGCACTGTTTGCAGATGCTGGTCTAGTACGTAATCCTAATAGAGCAATTGCTGGCGCAGGGTAAGCGCTGTGCCGGGATCATGGAGGCTGAGAGGGCCTTCCCTGGGGCGGGCGGGCAGGTGGCCAGGGGGATAGAGACCTCTTAGTGGTTAAGGCAGGCCCCCCACTCCTGGGCCTCCCAGACTGTCCAGGGGTGAGGGGACCGGTCCAGAGGTGACAAAAATGGGAAGCCATGGCCTGGGATGGGGGCACCAGGTGGGCCGTATTTCACCCCAGTGCGGTTGGGAGGGGAACAGAGCTGGATGGGCTAATAGCCTCCCCTAGCAATGAACTCTGAGCTCCTCTGTGGGGCAGTGAATACCCTGTGTCTGGAAAACCAAATGAGCTGCGTGGCCTGCCAACACCAAGCCCAGTGGGCAGCGAGGGCTGGGCCGGCACACTGCCGGCTGCCCTCTCCCTGAGGTCTTTCAGCCCCGTCTGGGACCTGTGATGCCAGCATGTCCCTCTGGTTCCACCTGCTCCCTGTCCTGTGGCCCAGGAGGCTCAGCCAGGACTCCAGGCTCCTGGTGTGAGGAGGGTTCCTGGGGACAAGCCCAGTGGCCCAGGAGCCCAGAGGGGCTGGGGCCAGGGCTCGAGCTGCTCTGTTGTTCTTGCTGTAGATTCCTGCTCTTTCCCCTCCTGCCTTGCCCCTTCAGGATTGGCAGGTTTGCACAAGCCTTCTGCAAAGCCCTTTGGGCCTGGAGACAGACTTGTTATGCCACTGGAGAAATGAGCCCGGATTTCCACTACCGACTTGTCTTTTAATTAGATTCTGACAGCAGCATGCAGGGCTGGCTGGCTGCAAATTCAGGTGCAGCTTTCCATGGTCCCAAGCCTCTGGGTTTCAGCACGTTTGGCTTTTTTGGAGGCAGGAAATGCTTCAACCTTTCCTGGGGAGTCGGGCAGGAGGAGGCCGACTGCATGCGTGTGAGCATGCAGACACCTCTCTTGGCGTGTGCATGTTTGCGCATTCGTGAGCAAAGAGTGCACGCTGTGTTTTGGAAAAGTCTGCAGACAAAGCATGCCAGGTCTCCTCACCATCCCTCCGGCCATCCATTCGCCCATCTGCTCGCCCACGGTGGGCGCTGCGGGGAGCCCCCTCGGCCTCAGTGTTGTCATCTGTGATTGGGGTTGATGGCACCTCAGCTGGCTTTCCCCAGCAAGACCTCTTGGGAGGGTTCCCGTTTGAACCAGGGCATTCCTCCTGGCTTCCTCCTGCAGGCTGGTTCAGCAAAACAACAAACCACCCGCGGGTTTCCTCGAAGGCGTGTTCCTCTTAAGAGGGGAGAACTAAAAACTGCACTGCCAGGGCTGTTGGCGGCAGATATGGGGGTGAAAGGCCAGAGAGCTGGGGATACTCGTCCTCCTCTCCTTCCCCTCCCCTCCTAAGGGGTGCCTGGGCTTCCTCCCCCACTGCCTCCCTCGTGTCGCATAGCTCAGCCATCGGGGACAGGCTCAGAAAAAGCAATTTTCTTGGACAGCTCACATCCTTGCCCTCCTGGGCCCTGCGTTCTGATCAGGCGCGAGCACTAAGCTCGTTGGCTTTGCTCCCCACGGAGAGCTCCCTCACCCCCGCCAAGCTTTTCTTTATCTTGGTGGGAAACTTCTTACTGATTTGAGCCAGGATGGAGTTGGGGCTGAGGCCAGGGCTGGAGTCCCATTCCCAAGTCCACCCTGGGCCTTCCAGCCAAGACCGGGAATCCAGCCTCCCACCACTTAATTGTCAGACTGAATTTCTTTCAAAGTAAAACAGATCGTGCCGCTCACCAGCTCAAGCCCCTCCGGCATGTAAACAAAATCCAAACTCTTCACCACAGATTCCAAGGCAGCCTGGCATGGGGTCCGGCCCTGCTCACCTCTCCTCCCTGTCTTACCAGCATGCTCCCCTGCACTGGTCCTCAGTCTGCTTCTCATTCCTGCCTCAGGGCCTTTGCACTTGCTGTGCCCTCTGCCTGGCGTGCTCTCCCCCTCCTTCCAACCATCCCAGGACTGTTTCCTTCATGTTATTTATCTCTCTGACTACATGCCACCTCCTGGAGAGAATTTCCCTGACCCAGTCTTAATGGTGCTCAATATTTTTTCCGTGTAGTGGTTTTCACTATTTGAAGTCATCTTTATTTGTTCTGATTGTCTCCTGCACTGGGCATATTTGTTTCGTTAGAGTGAGCCCTGTGGCCTTCCTGTCTCTCACTGTATTCCCAGCACTCAGACCCACGCCAGGCACATAGTAGGGCCTTAAGAACATCTGCTGAATGAATGCGACCTTACTAGTCTCTGCTCACCCAGGTCCCTATAATCCTCATGACAACGTATACTTATGAACGGGGAAACTGAGGCCCTGGCCTGTGAAGCTGCCAAGAAAAATCAGATTGAATAGATCTGACTCGAAATAAATGTTCCATCCAATCTTCCTGCAGTCTTGGGCTTCCACCAAAGATGTGTTATTTATAGGAAAAAATGGAAAACCCAGAAAACTAGAAAAGAGGAAAATCACCAGGCCCTCTACTTCCCCCAGTTTCGGATGCGACTTTTTTCTTTTTCTTTTTTGCACTTACTATAGCATTGACATTTTTCTGTGTTCGTCATACAGTGTCTGTAAACATGACTTTAGATGGATGTGGGATAGTCTGACGAGTGGGTCCACCAGGGTTACCTGGTCACCCCCGGTGGCTGGGCGTTTAGGTTGTTTCTGGTTTGGCGTGCTTGAGTTAGTGCCTGTCTGAGTAACATCTCAGTGTTGTGGATGGAATTCCAGTGTCTGTCCATTCATTCTTTGACCAGATTCTACTGTGCCCTGGGCCTGTTCCAAGCAGAGGGGATATGGGAGGGCCTGAGGCCCTGTGTCTGTCCTTGGAGCTCTCAGTCCAGTGTGGAAGGGGGCTAAGTAGAGCCACGAAGTGGCGTAGGTGTCCCCAGGCTAGACGGCAGAACATGGCATTCAGAAGGAAGTGGCCGGCCCATGGGGTTTGGAGCAAGCTTCGTGGAATGGGGAAGTCACCCTGACGCAGAGTCTTCAGGTGTTGAAGGAGGACAGTGGGTGATGCGTGTTGTGGACACGTCATTGCGAGGGCGGAGGTGTGGCTGCATGGTGTGCCCGGAACACTACCCAGGCCCAGGCTGGGATTGGCCTGGAGCGCAGGGAGCCTGCAAGGAAGGGCAGGAGCAGGAGCCGAGCTAGGGCCTTGAATGCCAAGTTAGGGAACTGGGACTTTCCCCAGCAGTGGGTGTATCTTCTTTTTAAAAAAATAAGGAGTTTGTTTGCTTTAAGATCAAGATTATACATACACTGCCAGGGGAAAAAAAAAATCAAATAGCACGGAACAGTTTATCCTGAAAGGCCTTTTCCCCTCCTGTCCAAATCCTGCTTTGTGGAACAAAATACTTTCCACCTGTTCTGTTTTTAATCCTCCCAGCACTTTCCTCAGGACTCTCATTAGTTTACTTTGCTGCTTCTCGGTTTATCTGTTTTTGGACATTCTGGTTCGGACAGAGGCTGGGTTAGCTTGTGCGCTTGAGGAAGGCGCAAACAGCTGGCCCTGACCTGGTGGGCTGGGGGGAGCGGGGGTGTCAGGAGCCCGGCTGGCAGCCCTGGCCCAGCACCGACCCCCACCCCCTCGCCACAGCAAAGCTTCGAGGCGCACCAGGATGAGGCGGTGAGCGTGACGCACATGGTGAAGGCGGGCAGCGGCGTCTGGATGGCGTTCTCCTCGGGCTCCTCCATCCGCCTCTTCCACACCGAGACCCTGGAGCACCTGCAGGAGATCAACATCGCCACCAGGACCACCTTCCTCCTGCCAGGTGAGGCTGCCTCGGGAAGGGCGGGAACTGACATTCGCGGAGCCCCCTCTGTGGCCAGGTAGTGGTGTGGCGTGGACAGTGCACCCCGAAACCCTCTTGGTGGCCTTCGGTCAGCCCTGAAAGCTGGGCGCCAAGTGGGGTACTCCCCGGGAAGCGTGGGGTCGGGATTCGCACCCGGGCCCGTACCCAAAGCCCCTCCTCCTGTCACTCCTCCCTGCCACCCTGCCACAGCAGCCCGGGCTCTCAGGACATGGGCTCCGAGCCCAGTGGACTCTCCCGAGTCGGGCAGTTGCAAGGACAGGCCAAGCTGGCGGGAACCCCGGCCTGTCTACACAGCCCCACTCCTCAGGTTGACCAAAAACCCAATTCTGCCTCAAATCCCTTTCAGAATGAGGTGACAGGAAAGCAAGGCTAACCAAGGGTCTCTTTCCGTGAAGGTTTTCCTAAGAAGAGGGAAATCTCCCTCTTGGTTTGCTGGCCAGGGGGTGTGGACGGCACCGCTCGAGGCTGGGGCTTCCCTCATAGGTGTTAGTGAGACAGGGCGGAGGGGACTGAGCGCAGGGCTTGCCTGGTGCTCCTGCCTCCGCCCTGCCCAAGGCCTCCCTTACACCATCTGCTGCCCTAGACGAGGCGCAGGGGCTGAGTGGGGAGGGAGCCAGGGCCGACACCCGCCTTACGGCCCATTCTCACCCTGCTGGCTTTGGGGCAGCCCACCTTGCCTCCCTCCTCGGCCCAGCTTCCCGCAGACATGCAGACCCGTGGCTGGTCTAGGAGGATGTAGCAGCTCCGTCCTGTCTGAGCGACCCAGGCCAGGCTGGCTTCAGCAGTGGGGGGAGCTGAAGGTCCCTGGGGCCCCGGGAAACAGAGCCCGTGTGTCAGGCTGGGACCTGGAGCTAATTGTCACGAGAAGCAGGCAGATGGCAGTGGCAGAGGCTGGCAGTGGCCATATGCTGAGCCAGGGGCTGAGTTTCCTGTCGCAGGAGTCAGCACCAAGGGCAGGCACGTTAGCCAGCACTTCAGGGGCCCTGGGGACCTCTGTCCCGGCCCAGAGGCCTGACTCCAGCTCAGGGACCCAGAAATCACCCTGGCTCCTGCTTCCCCCTGGCCAGTTGCGACTGTCCGTGCGTCTGAACTGGTCACATAGGGATAGTGGATGCTGACAACATGACCAACAGCAGTGAGGACAGTAATAACTGCCACCTGCTCCGTACCCGGTCGTGCGCCAGGCCCCAAGCGCTTTGTGTACAGGATCTCATTTCCCTGCAACCCCGTGAGGTGGGAATTGTCCCCGTGTTCCAGATGCAGAAACCAACATTTGTTCGGCAGGGCGAGGTGTCTTGCCCGTGGGCACACACGGGCCCTCTGTGTGTAACGGGGAAAAGAACGGCTCCAGAGTTGTCCCGAGTCCTGACCCGGCCCCGTGCGGTCTCTGGCAAGGCCCTCTGTCTCCCGGAGCTCTTGCCCCGCTGCGAGGTGGGATGTGGTTCCCGCCTCGGGGCTGTCGTGAGGCTCGATGGCACCAGGGCTGGGACAGGGCCTGCCCAGGCCCGTGGGGCGGCAGGTGCCCGATGGGGGTGGACCCTTCCCTGACGTTCCGCTGGGCTGTGCGAGAGGCTCGGTGTCAGGCATCTTGTTTGTCGTCTTCTCTTCCTTCCTTCTTGTCTTTCTTTTTTGCCGCTTTTGTTGTGTTTCGTCGTGTTTAGCCATTGCACAAGTTCTCCATATCACAGAAATAGCTCCACGATTCCTCCGATAGCGAAGTTATTTCAAGTTAATAGAACAGCGAAAAATGAGTAATCTTACAGGCCTTTTAAAATCTTAGGAATTCCCTCTCGTAGGGGCGGAGGAGTGCGGGAGGGTCTAGCTGATCACGTGCGAGGCAGGCCTGCGGGTGGAGCAGCCGTTCCCATTGGCCCAGCACGGACCTTACTGTACGTCCCACATTCGTTTTCCTGCCCATAGACTTAGTTGTTCTTTGCAGTTAACCTTTAAAGAAGGAAGGGCGTTCGTTACAATGGTGGTGACTTTAGGGCCAGGTAAACTGAGGCCCAGGAGGTTCAGTGATTGGCCCGTTGTCACACTGTGAAAGCACAGGGCCAGGGGAGACCACAGGCTCTGGTCGCAGCGTTCTCACACTTGCTGTGCAGCCTGGGGCGATGGCTTCCCCTTCCTGGGCCTCAGTGTCTCCATCCACACGACGAGGGGCCGAGATGTGAGTCAGCTTGGCCACGAGTGCAGGATAAACCAGAGCCTGGAGTCAGGACTCCTCCGGGAATCCTGCCCTGTCGCCTTCCGGGTCTGACCAGGAGCAAATGGAGAACGCTCCGATCGTCTGTCCCCACCTGGCAGGGCAGGGGTGGGCATTACCCGATATGGCGCCAGCACAGCACCCGCAGTCCCTGGCTCGAGTTGGTCTCAGTCGTGGTGGTGACTCCCTCCAGGGCAGTGCCCTTCCCATCACGTCAGCTACGTCAGAGCAGACAGAGTGACCCCTCCGCCTGCCAGGCCTCCTGGGGCTGAACCCTGCATAGGTCTGTATATCAGCCGTGGTTCCTGGGCGTGGGGCTTCCCGAATGTTCCCTCCTTCCCCCAGGCCTGACCTCCCCTCATCAGCAGCACTGGGGAGCCCAGGCCCTGCCAGGCCAGGTCCTCCTGGGACCCCTCAGGCCTGAGAGTGGCTCCCCCACGCCCCATGCTGAAGATAGGGCAGCTTCAGAGCCACCCTATGTTGTGCGTTTGCGGAGGGACAGCAAAGTAGGATTCTTACATTCTTCATCAGACAGATTTTAAAAAGGCTTTTAAGTATTTTTTTCTTCCCCCACACCACCAAATGAAATAATTGCATAATTAGTAATAAATTTGTTCCTCCTCTAAATGTGGATTTTTTTAGGGTGTGTTAAAAATTTATCACGCTTCCTTCCCCTGACCCCTTTCTTCCACTCAAGTACCCGACTGCTATTAATGCATTTTTTAACCTAAACTCCCTCCTCCTTTTAACTAGACAGGTCATTAATAAAATGTTCTCCGAGAGCCTGAGCTTTTTAAAGTTGTATATCTCCAGATAGATGGCTTGGGTGAGTTGAACACTGCTGCATTAAGTCTCTGTGATAAAATATTTATTCACCATTAGAATTTTTTTTTCTTTCGGACTGTTTGTGAAGTGTCTTGCTCTTTTCCTCGAGGCGGAGCGGGGAGGAGGAAGGGCCCCAGAATGAGCTCTGCAGAAAAAGCCATTTCTCAATTCCAGCATCTCTTTCGGTCTCACGCCCGCCTTCCTTTCATTTGTCGGGGTTCGGCTGTCCAGTGGGGCCGAGAGGAGGCAGGGCGTCGGCAAACGGTCTCCTGCTGGCCTCACGCCCCAGGGGCCCGGGAAAGGGGTCTATGGCTCCAATGGAGCCCATCTTGAGACATTAGAGTCCAGGTTCTCTTAATAATCGTAAACATTATCCTAATAGCCTCCATTTATTGATTGTATACTAGGGGCTAAGAGCTGTGTTCAGCTGTGTATCTGTATTGTTTGTATGTACATATGAATATATTCAATATTTCTAATAATCATAAAACTGGGCAAGCATCGATGGATGAGAGAAAGTGACGTGTCCGGATTCTCTACTCTCATTGGTCCATCCATCCGTCCGTCTGTCAGCTCATCCACTCACAGGTACCTTTGTGTCTACCATGGCCAGGGTGCTCTGCCAGGAGTTGGGAGTCAGCCTGGCGTACACAGAGGAGCTGCTGTCCCACGAAGCTTCATTTGGGAAGGTAGACAACAAAGAGCAGCGCGAGGTCATTACCACCCTTGGCCAGTGCCGGGAAGAGAAGGGAGCTCACGGCCGGGGCCTCCATGCTGAGCCTTTGCTTTCTGAATGGATGCAGGTGTGGGAAATAGGCCCAGCTCTACCGCACCCAGATACTGTTTGTGAAACAGCCCCCGCGGTCGGGTCTGAGTCACCAGCGGGCCTTTTCCAGTGTGGTTTGCTTTGCCACATTGAATCGACACTACGAATGTGACTTTTTGAGTTTGCGTCATGTTGCCGGAGTCATATCGCACTGCCTGCCTGATAGCTCCACTTGGACGTCTGATGCACGTCTGAGACCGCGCGTCCGGTCGGGAGCTCTGGGCTTCAGCCTCAAAGCTTGCTCCTCCACTGTCCCAGGTGACAGCACTGCCATGTACCAGCTGCTGGAGGCAGAGAAGCCTCAGCGTGGTCCCGGACCCCGCCCCTTCCCTCCCCTCCCCCTCCAGTCTGTAGTAGCTCTGCTGTTCTGTTTCCAGACGCGTCTCCAATCGCTGCTGCGGGAGCCCCACTGATCTTCTCCCACCCAAACGCTCCACTGAGATCGGGCCGTAGCACTCCCCTGCGTAGACCTTCTGGTAGCTTTTCACTGCAGTCAGAACGACAAACCCCAGTCCTTGCCCTGACCCGTCCCCTTCCCTGACCTCCCCTCTGGTCCTCTGAGTTTGCCTCCTGTCCCGGAGCTGCGCTGGCTTCCATCTGCTCCACAGACTGGCCAAGCTCATTCTTGTCACAGAGCCTCTGCATGCAGAGGTCTTGGTGTGGCGACCTCCTCCTTGTCATCCGGGTTTCACAGACTCACTCCTGCCTCCCATCCTTCCAGGAAGCAGAGTGAGGCATGAAAACCTGGGAGTCCTCCCTCCCTCCCTCTGCCCCAGAGCCCCACTGTAATCCTCTGCCTGGCATTTGTGTCCATGTTTCTGTTCTCGCTTCCGGTTTCCGCTCTCTAGGACTGTGCCATCTAATACATTGGCCGTTACTGAAATTAAAGAAAATTGAAAATTCAGTCCTGCAGTCCACTAGCTGCATTTACCAAGTGCTTGGTAGCCAGTGACTGATGGCTACTGAATTGGGTGGCACGGTAGAGAGCATTCCATCATTGCAGAAAGTTCTAGAGTGCCTGCTCCTCAGGGCAGGGACGTTGTGTGCATGGTTCTAGCCACGCCTCCAGCACCCAGTGTGGAGTCTGGCACACTGCAGGCAGCTGGGATGGAAATGGGTTTGCGATGGATGGCACCCTGTGCTAGATGCTGCTGTGTGGACCCAGGTGGGAACCTTCCTTTTAGGGCCAGGGAGGCTGCTCCGCAGAGGAAGCACGGGCGCCTGTGAGTGTGGCACTGAAGTGTCTGCTCAAGAGCAGAGGCAGCAGATGCACTGGGCTGTAGAGGGCAGCAGACCTCAGCTCGCCTCCCACCCTGCACACACCGGCTGGGGGGCCTCTTTGAGCCTTAATGTCCTCGTCTGGAAGATGGGGATGGCGTCTGTGTCCTGCATACGTCGCAGCTGTCGCAGGGCTCATGTCAGACGAGAGCAGGTGCACCAGGGCTCCGGAAGCACCAACGCAGTGTTTCTGGCAGTGTAGTATGTGGACCAGTAGCACTGGTGTCACCTGCAGCCTCTCCTTGGGGGTCGGGCCCCTCAATCTCCTGGTGATGCTGACGCACACCTCATTCCAGATATATCTTGGCATCGCTGTTGCCACGATCTATGACATAAATATGAATTTCCTTTGAGGGAAGAATAAACCCCTTTCAGAGGGCAGAGGATTTGGGCAAGAAGGAGACAGCCCTTTGGAAAGGCCGGAGCCAGGCGAAGCCCGTGGGAGCTTGGCAGGGCTGTGCACCCTGCGTGTGACAAGGGAGGGGTCTGTCCCTGAGGCAGCAGCCTGCACCCTGCTCCTCTCGGCCCTCCGAGGCAGTCCTCCTGTCCTGGCCCCCAACCTCTCCCTCACTCCTGTTCCCGCGGGTCAGATTCATGAACGGTTATGGCAGGAGTGACGGTAGCAGGTAGCACCTCTGTGCATGCCGTGTGCCAGGCACTGGGTTAACTGTTTTACTTTCAGTGACTCATTTAACTCCCAGGACAATGCTATGAAATACAGTCATGTGTCGCTTAAGGGCAGAATATGTTCTGAGAAATGCCTTGTTAGGTGATTTTGTCGTCGTGCAAACATCATAGAGTGTACTCACGCAAACCTAGATGGCATGGCCTATTGTCCCTGGCTACAAGCCTGTTCAACACGTCACTGTACTGAGTACAGTTGGAACACGACAGTAAGTATTTGTGCATCTAAACAAATTAAACATGGAAAAGGTACATGAAAAATATGGCGTTATAATCTTATGGGACCAACATTGTATGTGCAGTTTGTTGTTGAACCACGTTATGTGGCACGTGACTGTGTTGTCATCAGCCCCTTTTATAAGTGAGGGGACAGTGGCACAGAGGGGGTTAGGACTGGCCCCAGGTCACGTAGCCATGAAGTGGCAGAGCCAGGGTTTGAACCCAGCGCCCGGCTCTGGAGCTGTTTCTTGGCCGCTGTGCTGGGCAGCCCACACTGCGCATCCCTCTGTGAGGAACGGGGGATGGGGGACCCGCCATCCCTGACATTGCCACCCTTGCTCACATGAAGTGACAGCACCGAGGGGATAGACCGAGAAGAGCTAGTCGGGACCGACGTCGATACCATGTTGATTCCCGCCAGTGAGTCCTCTGCTTCCCTCTCGGGCCCGGGGCCTGCCGGGAGTGCCGAGCCCTCGCCCAGAGAAGTGCCCACGCGGGCAAGCCCGTGCTGGAAACAGCGCTGCACACAGGGGCTGTGGCGGACCCCGGGCCCCGGCCCCCGTCCCATCTGCGTGGGCATCTGCTTCGCCCACACCGACTGGAAACTTGCACCTTCCCAGTCTCCCCCGGCCCCGCTCCCCAGCTGGCTGGTTGTGTCCCTGGCATGGGCCGCCTGTGGCCGACCCTTTGTGCCAGAGAAGCCGGCCGCTGTGTGCTGAGCTCACGGGCCAGGCCCGGGGCCCTGGGTGCTACCCCAGTGTGTCCTCATGGCAGCCCCACTCTGCACAGGGGGAGACCGAGGCTGGGGAGGGGAGCTCTGAGCTGGGGGCTCCAGGGGCCAGACCCCAGCCAGGTCAGCCCACGCCCCGGGTCTTAACCACAACAACATCCAGCTCTTGCCTGTCTCATGGGAGGGGCCCAGACTGTGCCGTGCCCTCTCCTTGTGGTGGCACCCGGAGCCCACTGCCATCCCCCAGGGACGGCGCTACTCACCTGGCCTCTCTCTCTGCAGGCCAGAAGCACTTGTGTGTCACCAGCCTCCTGATCTGCCAGGGTCTGCTCTGGGTGGGCACTGACCAGGGTGTCATCGTCCTGCTGCCTGTGCCTCGACTGGAGGGCATCCCCAAGATCACAGGTGAGCTTCTGGGAGCTGGTCTGGGCAGGGCCCCGGGGTCAGCTGCAAACAGCCAGCGGGGCTTGGCGGAGAGGGTGAATTGTGCCCAGGTATTGACCCTGTCTTCTGACTTGGAGACTGAGGTCCAGTCTTGAGCTTCCTGTCATCTGTGGTGGCACAGTGAAACTAAGTCATGTTAGTCCCACAGTCTCCTGCCTTCTTTCTGAGTCTCAGTTTCCTGATCTGGCAAATGGGCACAGTCATGACTTCAGGATTGGCTGAGACACCTGACTAATGGCAGAGGCTCCGCTGGGCCCCTTCTGATTCCTCCCACTGCAGTTTCAAAACGTCCAGGCTCCAGAGATAGAACTGAGGGCCGGGCCGGGTGCCCTCATGGGGTCCATGTGCAAATGTGTGTGCACAGATCAGGGGAAGGTCTGCTCTGGCCTGCACCACCAGGGCCAGGAGAGCAAGGGCAGGACCAGGGAGAGCCTCGACGTTTGGACACCTAGAGCCCTGGGCCCCTCTCTCTCTGTCCTGAGATGATGGCACGGTGGTCTCTTCCAGCAGACAGTGGGGCGAGAGGAATGTGCAGCCCTGGGGGTGGGCCGGCCCCACCCAGACCTTGAGCCCCTCTGCTAAGGAGTCGCTTCTAAATCCCCACATTTCCCATAGTTACGGTTCATCGCTCCAGGCATTTTGGTCACCCAAGGGGTGTCTATGAAGGGCCAGGTCCTGGGCTGCAAGGCTGAACGAGCAGAGACCCTGCCCGCAGAGAGCCGCGGTCTCCTGGGGGCCCTTGTAGTCCAGGCGGCAGGCGCTCCAGGGCCTGGGGGCACAGAGAGGGACAGATTCAGGAGGGATTTGCCGGGAGGAGCTTTGAGCCTGACCTCACAGGAAGAGCTGCAGATTGAGGTGGACGCGAAAGGCTTTCTAGGCGGAGGTAATAGCGTGGGCAAAGGCTCGGAGACAGGAAATTCTCAGGGAATCCATACCAGGGTCCCCCCAAGCGGTGTGTAAAGTCGCTCCTGTTCTAGTCCCCCCAGGAGGGTAGCCCTGGAGCACGGCAGAGCCAGACCCACGGCCTTCGGGGAGGTGCCCGCAGATTACAGCCGCCAAAATAAAACCCCACCCAGAAAGTTCTCGGGAGAGATGTGTGGGCTGCCTCCCTTAATGCTCTGGGCCTTCGGGCCCCCTTCCCCCTCGCCCCATTTCCTGTAGGGAAGGGCATGGTCTCGCTCAATGGTCACTGTGGGCCTGTGGCCTTCCTGGCGGTGGCGACCAGCATCTTGGCCCCTGACATCCTGCGGAGCGACCAGGAGGAGGCTGAGGGGCCGCGGGCTGAGGAGGACAAGCCGGACGGGCAGGCTCACGAGCCAGTACCTGTGCCCGACAGCCACGTGGGCCGAGAGCTGACCCGGAAGAAGGGCATCCTCCTGCAGTACCGCCTGCGCTCCACGGCCCACCTCCCCGGCCCGCTGCTCTCCATGCGGGAGCCGGTGCCCGCCGACGGCTCAGCCCTGGAGCACAGCGAGGAGGACGGCTCCATCTACGAGATGGCCGACGACCCCGACGTCTGGGTGCGCAGCCGGCCCTGCGCCCGCGACGCCCACCGCAAGGAGATCTGCTCCGTAGCCATCATCTCCGGCGGGCAAGGCTACCGCAACTTCGGTGGCGCCCTGGGCGGCAGCGGGAGGCCGGCCCCGTGTGGGGAGACGGACAGCACCCTCCTCATCTGGCAGGTGCCCTTGATGCTATAGCCCCCAGCCCAGCCCCGGTGGGCACAGCGCAGGCCTGACCGCGGCCGGGCCATGCCGGGCTCTGCTCGGTCCCCAGGCAGTGCTGGGAAGACTTGCGTTCCAGGGATCTGCCCGGGGCGTGCGGACAGGCCTGGATTCTCCAGGACCGACTCTGGCAGGGTGAAGGACAAACCTCTTCTTTTTAAAAATATTTTTTTTTTTCAGAGTGTTTTGGGGAGGGGTTTTAGGGTTAGGGGAGACGGAGGACACATCCGGAGGAAATGGCCTTCTTTTTAAAAGCAAAAAACACAAAACCTCACAACTGCCTGGCAAGCCCAGCACCACCTGTCCGGGCCCGCTCGGGGCTCCCAGGCAGCCGCGCGCCCCTGCTGCAGGTGTGCGCGTGAGTGTGTGCGAGCGTGTGGGCTGCGTGTGAATATATATAAATACATATATATGGTGTACATTCTATGTGTATAAATAAAGTCTGTACATATTGGCGCTCTGGGAGATGCTGGAATAAATGGCGAGAGTCACATCGGTACTTGGACCGAGGCCTTGTTTTTCTGAGACACGGTGGGGAAGAGGCAGAGAGAGCAGCTGCTGGCAGGCAGGGCTGCCACGGCCAGGAGCCACTGTGCCGTCCGCGGGATCCGGGCTCGGCACCAGGGCAGAGCTGCTGCGGGGATCGTCTCCAGCACTGCACTGTCCGGCGCGGTCGCCATCAGCCACAGGTGGCTTGTAAACTTTCAAATCAATTAAAATTCAATTAAATATTCAGTCCCTCAGTCGCCGTAGCCGCATTTCAGGTGTGTCTGGAGCAGCCCGACAGGGTAAGTGGCGACGGATTAGACGGCCCAGGCATGGCCGTTTCCATCACCGCAGGAAGTTCTCTTCTGCTCGAGAAGGGGCTTTGGGGGCTCCTTTTCTGAACATCTTTTGTAGAAAAGATTGGGTCACCCCGGCTCTGGAACGGCGCGGAGGCAGGGGGCCTTGGCGTCTAACAGCACAAGCCAGGGAGGGAGGGGAAGCGGAAGGGGGTCTCAGCCGGCTGGCTGTCCTTGCCGGGGGGTGAGGGGCTTGGGACTGGGGGTCTGAGGGAGGGTGGGGGGAGTTCCAGATGGGGTCTGTCAGCAGCAGGAGCAGAGCCCAGCTGCCTGTGGCCCTGGCGTCTGTCTTCTGGCTCAATCCATCCTTAGATTTCTAGAGCTGCCTGCAGGGGAAAAACCAAACCCAAAAGCTACCACCCAAAAAGGTACTGTTTCCTCCATTTTCCCACCTCTCTACGTCTCTGCCATCGTCCGTGTGTCTGTCTACCCGGCCACTGGTGTGCAAGTCTGAAGCTCTGGGAACCCAGTGGAAAAGCCACCAAGGAGTGGACATTCCAGCCAGGTTCTAACCACATGGCAGGATCTCGCCCCCTGGAAAAGTCATTCATTCACTCACTTTGCAAACCCCATGAGTTCCTGGTATGTGCCAGGCACTGTGCTCCTTGCTGGGGCCATGCAGGCAGATGAGACAGCAGCCTCCATGCCCACGGGGAGCGCATGGTCCCGAGTGAGGGCTTGGGGAGGCGGGGGGTGCTGCAGAGGAAGGGGGAGGAGGAACAGCCTGCGCGGGGCGGAGGGTACACAGAGGTTGGCTTGTTCCCAGAGGGCAGGTGATCCAGTGTGGGTCCCCAGGACCGGGAGAGGAGGCTGTGTCTGGAGGAAACAGTGCGCCTGAGGGTCTGGCTTCCACGCTGACAAACCGTGGCTCAGATGTGACCCAGCTTCTCTGGGCCTCAGTTTCCCCTTTTGTATCAAAGAAGAATCATCACTGCCCGATCTGCCTTGGTGGGGGAGGGTGAACTGCTGCGTTCCCGTTTTCACTGCTCAGGTCAGTTATTGGGTGCCTTGTCTCCAAGGGACCCCCAGCGGGTGCGTGTATCCCGAATCAAATGCCGGCCAGGACTCTTCCTGGGACGGTGACGGGTGAGTCAAGGCTGCCCGGGACAAGGAGCAGGCCTGCGTGCAAGGCTGGCCCCGCCAAAGCTGCGGGGTGGCGCCCAGCACATTCCTCGGTCTCCTCGTCTCGAACCGAGAAGATGGCGCCTCACAGAATGGCCGAGAGGTCCCGGTACCAAGGCCGAGGAAGGCACGTGGAACAGCCTCCAGCGGTGTTTTTGTGACAGTGCCTTGTATCTTTGCTCCAGACGGTTTGAGGCAGACTGTTCTTACTAAGAAGTCTCCCCTTTTACGCAGGGGCTGGCGTCTGAGAGCCCTGTGGGCCCGTTAGATCCCAGCCCTACAGACGGCTCAGCTGAAGGGGACCCGAGAGATCTAATGGTGCCCGTGGGATCCCGTCACCGAGGAGGCGACTGACTCCACTCCTCCGCTGAAATTACCACATCAGTCAGCTGCTCATCGCCCGTGCATCTGACAACAGAGCGAGGGCTGGGGCGCAGGAACGGCTCCCGAGACACGCCGAGGACGTGCCTTGCACGGGAGAGGAGGCCTCGCGTTAGATATTGATGAGAATAATAATAACCCTAGCGCTCTGGGTGGCTTCGCTGGTTTTCTCCTCACGACTGCTGTGTGAGTAGCTGCTTTCATTTGCCTCCTGTTGTCGGCGAGGGGTCTGAGGCTCAGGGAGCTTGTCACTGGCCTGGGAAGTCAGGCCCAGGACTGAGCTCGGTCTGCTGCTGAGATGGAGTCTTCGCCCCGGGCTTCTCTGTCCCAAGAGCAAAACTTTGGAGACAAACAGACCAGAGCTGCAACTGTGCTGGCCCCGCGGACTAGCTGTGCCTTAATCTCTCTGCGTCTCAGGGAGCCCCTGCCATGGGAACCGAGTGTCGTTCTTTCTGTATTTATTGAGCACTTATTACGTGCCAGGACCCAGTTTCAAGCAGGCACTGGGTGGAGTGTGAGGAACAAGACGAATCCCAGTCGCGTCCCGCCTTCCATCTGCTGGCGGGGAGGCTGGAGAAAATACACAGGACAGTGTGTGTGCTCTGGAGACGCGTAACGGAGAGCGGGGACGGAACGTGCTGGAGAGGGGGCTTGCGTTGTTAAAGGGCGTGGGCAGGAGGCTTCACTGAGGAGGTGACACTTGAGCAAAGACCTGAAGGCGGAGCAGACGTCGGATGGTAGAACATTCCGGGCTGAGTGCAAGGTGCCCAGTGCCAAGGCAGGACTGTGGCTGGAGCGGAGATGTAGGGAGGACAGTGGACTCTGGGGTTGGGACTCCGCAGAGAGATCCGCTGACACACGAGCCTGGATGCGCCTTCCAAGGGAGCAGAGTCCACAGAGACGCAAGAGGTGAGGACAGGGAAGGCTGGCGGCAGGAGGGCTGGGAGCTGGGCAGGAAACGGAGGCTGAGAAGGCGAGGCCCAGGATCGAGGCGGGGACCCAGGTGCCCGCCCTGGAAGCCCGCGAAGAGGGTTTGAAGCGGAGGATGCTGCCCAGAGAGTAAGAAGAGGCCTGACCTTGGATTCAGCCACGTGGAGACCGGCGGTGACCTTGACGAGAGGGGTGTGGGCAGAGCGGTGGGCAGAGCGCAAAGACACGGCGGTCCAGGAGCAGAGCGTCCGAGCAGCGGGAGTCTTGGGTGTTCTGGGCCCCAGTGGCCGGGGCAGAGGGGGAGGGGCCGTTACAGAGGGCCCTGCCACGTGGGCCATGGCTCAGAGGGCCCAGAGCTTGTCAGTCCGTGGGCCTTCGTGCCCTTGCCCTTGCCCGAGAGGGAAAACCGTTTTCTGCAGCCCAGCTGAGCAGGCAGAGACTCCAGACCAGCCCGGTGACCAGGCGGCAGCTGCGAGCCAGACCCCTCCCAGCGGGAGCCCTGCACTGCTGCTGATTGAGAATCTCGGGCTAACGACAGGTCACCGCACCTGTGGGTGACCCAGCCTGCCATCCCCACCCTCCCGCCCCGTTGCTGGGTGATTGCCAACAGCCTCTGCACCCAGACTGGGGAGGCCAAGGCCCTACGGCCCTACCCCTCAGACGATGGTTGGGGGTTGTCCCCTGGGCACCCCCAGCCTCGAGCCACGGCCCCCAGAGGTGGGAGGGAGGCCAAGGCCGTCCTCATCCAGCCTCCTGGAGCCCAACTGCTCCTTCGGAAGTAGCTGCTGCCTGTGGTGGGTGGAGACCCGCAGTCACCTCCAGGGGCACAGAAACGGCCCCTTCACTGTGTCCCAATAACTGGTCTGGTTTCAGTCTGGGGACCCCATAGCAAGAAACTCTTGTTCTTAATTAAAGGTGATACAGTCGTTTTGGGGGCTGCAGCTGCTTCTTTGGGGCTAACGCAGTCTATTTGGGCTAAATCAACAGTCTTTTAGGCCTGTCTCCTCTCCTCCCTTCCCTTCTGTCCCTGGCGTGGTGGAGCCCAGGGGACCCTGCTAGGGGGTGGTGGTGGCAGGGGTCCAGGTGTCTGCACAGTGTGGGGGGCATGCCCTCTGCCCTGGCTCTTGCTGGTCTCCAGAGCAAGGTGGCTTGACCCTCTGTGCCCCTAGGACACTGCCTCGGCCGTCTGTCCCATCCTTGGGTGCCCCGCATCACCAGTGCCGCCCGCGGACTTCAGCCCCGTGCCTGGTCTTGGGGACTGCGCCTTCTGTCCCCTGAGCCCCTCCCGGGTCTCCCCTGGGCCCCTGGTGCTCTCGGCTCCCTGCACCCCCAGGATACCCAGACCCTGCTCTGCCCCGCAGGCCACTGCCCACGGCTCCCAGGCTCCGCCCAGCCTTTCTGACGTGGCCCAGGGCAGGGCACGGGGCCGTGTCCCAGCTCAGGAGCCCTGGCGTGTCTGCCCCGCTTCCGACTCGCTGTTTAAGCTGCGATTTCCTGTGGGGAAGCCACGCCGAGGCCTGGAGGAGGCCTGTGCACAGGCGCCGAGCTCTGCTCCTGCTTCGTAAAGGGACGCGGACCCCGAGACAAGGATTTTGATTCCAGCCGTTTGTTAGGGCATGAGACGCGGAAGGGTGGCAGCTGGTGCAGTCACCGGGGCTCCGGGAGACAGCAGAGCCTGCCTCAGTTACCCCACCGCGGGCTGAGGGAGCTCGGGCCGTTCTCCAGTTCCCGCCAGCTGTGTCCGTGGCGCCCCTGCCTGCCTCCTTGTCACCCAGGAGAGGACCCCGGGCCGGTCCCGGCACAGCAGCCACACACTGCCACGGCGAGTGCCCAGAACAAGCTGCGGCTTTTACCATTAAAATTTTTTTCCCTAACAAGCCAGACTTTCAAGACGTTAGTCTTGCTATGGACACAAAAATGCCCGATTTGGACTCAGAGCTGGGTGTCTGCTCTGGGTTCTAGCCCCCGTCTCGGCTTGGGCCGCTGTAGCAAAACGCCACCCACCGGGCAGCTTAGACAACAAACCTTCATTTCTCACAGTCCTGCGGGCCGCAGGGCCAGGAGCCAGGGCGCAGCCTCGGCGTCTGGGGGGCCCTCTTCTTGGCTCGCAGGGGGCCACTTTCTTCCCGTGTCCTCATGTGCAGAGCGAGCTCCGGTCTCTCTTCCTCTTCCAAGGGTACCGACCCCATTGTGGGGGCTCCACCCTGGTGACCTAATCACCCCCAAAGGC